CCGCCCTTCATGACTTCCACTTCTTTCAGTTATTGATCACTGATCATCCGACTTCTCCTGCGTCTATTAATCATTTCAGCTGCCTGATGAATACCTAAATCGAAGAATCATACATGTTAAGTATGTAATCCTCTAAAGTCAAAGTTGTGTTGTTATCTTGCTATCCAATTTTCTGTCTCCTGTTTTATTCGGTCAAAAAAACCACAAGAATTTGTTAACTTCGCCAAAGTCCTATACACTGAAAGGAAGTTATCGTGCTTATCTAGTTATCCCAAAGTCTGCTTACCTCGTGCTTATCTTGCTATCCCAAAGTCTTGTTATCTTTGATAAAGTCCTATTCACAGAAAGGCAGTGATTGTGCTTATCTTGTTCTTGTTATGCCGAAGTCTTGTTATCTGCTTGTTCTCATCCAAAAAATCCAAAAAAAGTTGTTATCATTCCTAAAGTCCGATACACAGAAGGTACTTCTCATGTTATCTCCCCAAGAAACTTTCCAAAAATGCAAGTTATCCTGATATATTAGTCTCGCTATGATGTTCCACCAAATGGGTGTTTTGTGCCATGTCCAATATTGGACTTCAAAACCAGTTTCCCTAGTGACTCTCTTGAAGCCTAACCAAGGTCACAAATGTGGGTCCACGTTTGCTAAAGACTGACCTTTAACATTGAAAGAAAAGAAATAAAAACTTATTCGTATTTTATAGATTCTAAAGGATAGATTTTAGAGAATCTAAAGTCAAGAAACCTTAGTCATATTGAAGTCATGAATATGACTAATGTCATAATCATGATCAATTTGTGGGTCATGATCCTGAGTCGTATTGAACGCATCCAACTTGTCAAGCTCAATTCCTAAGAGCTTGATCAAACTCATTGTTGAGCAAACAGGATCATGATCATGATCCGTAGGTGCTCAATCACGTACATCCATTACCTCAAGCACCAAAACTCACCTTGAGTCAAAAGCATATGACTCAAGCATACATCTTTGATATTGCATTGCAGAGAAATATTCAAAACCAAACAAAGGGACAAAGATTAAAAAAAACTACCATGCCCACAACATCGAGCAATTTGATGGCTAGATCATGAAACAAATGAACGCTACAAATAGCCGCAACCTCGGAAAAGCGCTTCCGAAAGCGCCTCATTGAAAAGTATCATACAACTTTCAAAAATCGCGGCCATTTCTTCGTTTTGGTTCAAAGCATTTTGAAGAACTTGGGACCTTCTCAATCGGGCCTTCAAAATCGAAAAACCTTTTTCAATTGGGTTCAGATCCGGGCTGTAAGCTGGCAGGTAAACTAGTCTAACACCTCGTGCCTCACAAAGTTCTGCCACCCGACCGTTGTGGTGGATCGGTGCATTATCCATCACCAATACGCTATTACGAGCCGGCCAGGGATTCATTGCCGGTAACTACAAATAAGACATCCATGTCAGTATCATGAAAGCATACAAAAAACATATGACTTACAAGATCATGTTCAAGGAAGTCTTCGAAGTCGATCCGTGCATACCCACCCGCCTGGATCTTACAAGCAATCACTCCATCTAAAGAAATGGCGGGCAATACGGACCATCGAGTAGCATTGGTGGGCCTCTGCAGGCGGCTGGACCTTTGACCAACGGGTGCACGCGCGTAATCTCGAAACAACCGACGCTTGGTAATTGCACTTTCGTCTGAAAGATGAAAACATCCTGAATACATAAACATATAATGAAATTTACAAATTGAAAGAAAAAAAACGTACCAGTGAATACTAGACATCTAGGGTCAATGTCATGAACTGATTGTATGTAGGCTCCTCGTGCAGCCATGGATTGATTGGGATGGACCGTACGGGCCTTTTTCCTGGACCAGGCCAGCCTATTTCGTAGCTCCTTTGAAAGAGTCATGGTTGAGACGTGGATCCCAAAGGTGTCGGTAATTTTCGTTTGGAGCTCATCTAGATAGAGGGTTGGGTCCACTTCAAGCGATTCCATGATGAACTGGTGTTCAGCTGGTCCTAACACGGGTGGAGGGCCTGGTTCCATATGATCCATCGGATTGGTCACAATTGCTCGAGTCGTCCGGTAGAGATGGTACCAACGCCGGACCGAGGTGAGCGCGAGTTGAATGCCGAGTGATTCAACAATCTCACGAAACCGCATCCCTCGAATCACCATGCGCACCACGAGCATCTTGACCTCGGGGCTGTGGATAGGCATCTGGGAACAGGTGAGGAAGGCAAGTGAGGAAGTGTTAACCGAGCCATGAATCATGAGAAAACGAAAAACTAACCACGATAAATGGAATAATGATGGTTTGGACAAACAAGAATGATGATGAGAGAGGCAAAATAGGGATGTCGAGGTATTGAAAAGATGGTAATGGACGGGAGGAGAATAAGAGGGAAAGGGGAAAAGGGAAAAGGGGAAAGGGAAGACAAGATGTACTTACCCGGCCGTTGCTCGTGTTTCTTTTGACAGCGCACGTCAAAAGTGCCCTTCCATCGAAAGTCCACGTCAGTACATGTAGAGAGGCTGTGGTGACAGCTCACTCACGGTACCAACGGAGACAGATATGGAAAAAAAGGTTTTTTTCAAGATTAAACCGTTTTGGACTAGGTCCCTCGGTGATACTTTTGAGTGAAAGATGCCATCAAATCCTTTAGTCGCTGTACTGTACTTTGAAATCGGTACTGTAAAATTTACTGAACTTTTACTGTAACGATAGTGGATGCTCTAATGCAATTATGTGCAAATATTATATCATGACTTATGGAGGCACAATACACTCTTAAATGGATGAACAAAGAATGCTTCCGGTCACAGGATCTACTCCTCCATTCTTACCATTATGGATGGATAAAGGAGTGATGTAGCTCGAAAGGAGCAGCCACTCCTCATTTTCCATTTATACTCATTATAAATAGCGTCTTAGCGCAGAGTCCCAGATTGAGTTCACTAGAAAAATCTTGAGACCCAATTGTATTCTCAAGGCCGGACAACAGTTCAATCTGGTCAACTTGAGTTGTTGTACAAAACCTTTTGCAGCAGATAGGGAGGTCATTAGTACAGTCGTTTTCAAAAAGCTTGCCGAAATTTGCCCGCAAAACTCGAGCAATTTGGCGGTGAATTAGCGGCAAGCTTTTTGAAAACGACTGTACAAAATCAGAATCGGGTAGTCTGTGATTTGATCAACCTCGGATCGGCATAAACGAGTTAACAAGATCTTCAACGGTTTCAAGTTTCAAGAATTCGAATGATCGAAGTGCATATCAAGTGCATGTAGCAGATGGCTCATTTGATTCATAATAGTAGGGATGCCATTGAAGGATAGCATAAGACGGTAGGTGTGAGGGACTATAATCGAACAAAGCAAAACAAGACATGTATTGCTTCAAATGTTTGATGGGTACAACATCTAAAAAAAAGTAACACAAGCAAGTTAAAATCATTGAAGCTTCAACATTCCCAATTGATGACCCGAAAACTTACAACTCGGCAAGAAGCTCCAAAGGTTCGTGGTGGTAGATTGACCCTGAATTTGGCCCGAACGACACCGGTGTTTCCGTGAGGTCTAGTTACCTTTCCCCAGATAATTCTGATCTTTGAACCTTTGATGGCTCGTTGAGCTCGGTAGACATAGGCGATTTTCTATGAGGAAACCAAATTAATGCAAAAAGTAATAAGTATCATTTCGAAACGATTATTTTGAATAGAATGACGGTGATTTGTTCTGTTGGAAATGTGATAGTGATGTCGCGTGATATGAAATGATAATGAGGATCGATAGTATGATGAATGTTTGATGGTATGATTTTGAATTCTCTAGTTGAAAGGTTGATATCTCTAGTACGAGGTGGTATAAATCCAGATTGAAATGATTGAATTCTTACCTTTCCGAGGTAAAAACCAGTTTCCTGCTTTGTTGCTACTCCTTCAAGTTGAATGAGAGAAGTAGTAGGGTGGGTGTTACGCTTTCCACGTGTGTGTGAAAGGATTCGACCTTTGGTGTAGAGCCTTGTCATCTTAAAAAAACCGCCTATAAGGATAACGATGATGCAGAGTTGATGTTAAAGGTGGTCAGAGGTGTTGTCTTCAGTCGATTTAGCTGGGGTGCGCTCACCTCGATTATCTTCACGTTAGGTCGATTTCTTGCGTCCCTTCGTACAGTTTTGCCCGCGGTTGGTGCGAAGCGCTTCGAGGCGTGCGGTAGTAATATGAATCTCATCATTTGAGCGTTAACCTAATTAGCCCTATCTGACCCATGCTGAAACCTAATCAACCCGGCCACGCCGATCAAGTCGTCCGCTGAACTGGGCCAGTACCACGACAGCCACAACCACACCATTCCGAAGTCTGGATCATGACAAGCTGAAGCTGTTGGATCAACGTAGGACAGATGTATCTCAGTCAACGATCCAATGGAGCTATCGGAGCTAGCATAACGCAAAAGGTAGCAACTGCCGAATCACCGTTAGACAAATAACCAGATTGTTGCATTTAAAACTTATGAATCACTCTAGGTGCATTCATTGAAGATCATTCATTTTTTGGATGAGAAAGAAAACAAACAAATAGAAAACCAGTCAAGTTCATGAATTATATCACATTGATCAAACTAATAGACGTAGAAAAAAGGCAATTGAATCGAAACCCTAGTCAAAGGTGGTAATATTGGATTTCAAGTAATGGTACACTAGATCACATCCAAGATTTGATTGAAGGTAAGTTATGCTGATGAGTTGTAGTATTGATAGTATCACTTTAATCAGTCCTATCATTTATTTCATCAAGAAAGTTTCCATCAATAGTATCATCATATTTCAAGTTCAGCAAGAGAGATTGATGGTTTTTAGTTTTGTTCTGATTATATTTCTTTTCTTTTTTTGATAAATAAAGTCTCCTTTGTTATGTTTGTTATGTTTGTTTACTAGATTTACCAATTTGTCAATTTATGAGGACACTACTAGACAAGATGATGATAAATTGTCATGGTGAACAAATGCAGCAAGTCACCATACCCATGAGCACTTTCTTTCCAGTCTGTGAGGGAATTGGACACTGTCTAACCTAGCGGCAAATCTTCCTTATCCCAGAGAATTGGAGGACTGCCGGAGGGTGGGATTCACGGGAATGGAAATGGGCTGTATGAGCCTGACCTCACCGCCACGTTTCAGAACAGAGGTTTAGGCTGAGCCTCACTGAGCAGTACACAGCAAACTTCTTCGTAAACATTCCTCCCATCGGCCTACATCAAAACCGTACTTTGTCAATCTTGTTAATGCATTATCACAAGGTGGGTACAACAATAAGGGCGCGACATAAAACTAAATTTCATAGATATCGACCGATGTTAACATCCTACTCTGAAGAACCTATGAACAGAGTCCTGAGATTTCATTTGATGATTTCGATTGATAAGAAAAATTAAACTAGTTCTTCACCAAAGAAATCAAAACCGAAATGTAATAGATAGAATGTGTACAATCCTGAAATCTACATATGTATGGATAGATACGAGCAAGCAGAGTTGGCCTGGCCTAGCTGTGCCATCTGGAATGAAATACAAATCTATGAGTTAATAGATACGAGTCGATGGCCTGTACTATAGATACAAGTTGATGACCTGGCCTGGCTGAGCAATCTACTGCTGTAGTTTGTAAAGCAGTCAGAATCGATGAATCGACACGACTAACGTGTGATCTGCCTAGCCCGACTGGGTTTGTAGAAGCCTTGCATCTAAGGGATGAAATGAATTTGTGTGCACGATATAAATACGGCGGAAGTGATATACAATCAGAGGAATAATCACATTGACAATATTGCTATCACTCATCATGCTTTTGACTACCTTTATTGCCACTCTTCGAGCAGAAACCCCTTTTGCTTATGTGTTGGAGTGATATATGACTCTCGTAGTGTCCGGGTTGGCCATTTTTTCCAATACCTATATGGTCCTCGTCGTACTCAGAGCGTGACCTGCCGTCCTGCGGGCCTCTCGCGCCTTTTTTTTTTTTTTTTTTTTTTTTTTTTTTTTTTTTTTTTTTTCT